AAACTTCCCCCCTCAGCCCAAACCGAAGCAAAACAAAAACCCGGACAGAGCCAGTGGAAGATCCAGTACAAAGATCCTTTTACTGGATGAAGCTTTTGAGATGTGGGACTAACATTTAACTTCCTCAAGACTTGCTTTGCACTGCAATATTAGTACATCACGCTCCAGCATGGTTGTACTCTATCTTCTGTCATCCAAGGGCATCAGTGTTCCCCAAGGACTTCCTTTAGCTCTGACTGGAGAGTAAGTATAAATCCTATGTTGTACCACAAAATTGTCCTCCTGGACTCAGGGGCTTTCCTTTTATAAACCAAACCCTCCAATATTGGTGCAGCCTCGCCATCAGGATGGGTTTTTATTTGGTTTTGTTTCATTTTTTGGCCATCATCATCTGGACTAGAAGAATTTGGGCTTTGCCCCGATGGCTGGACTGTCCTACACATCCTCCCACAGGGGCACAAAGATCGCACCTTTTGGTTGTTGCGGTAAGCTCAGAATCCCACCTGAACCAGGCAGGAAAACCTTGCTGTTTTCCTTCCCAAATGCCAGTGCTAGGGCATGAAGCAGATGTGCCTGGAAGATGCCCAGAACCTTGCCTCAATGCCTTAATGGGTCCAGGCTCTTCACATAGATTTATACATCGATCTGACCATATCTAGCCCATCAAGCATGCAAGCCTCCCTCTTGGGTTGTGAAAGAGGGGCTCACCAGGGCACAGGCATCATCTGCTGCTTGCTTCAGAGATAATTCAGTCTTGCTGAGATCTGCAAGACTGCAGTGTGGAGCTGCCCATTGATCCTTTGTTAAACTGTTAGGCCCTTGCCAGTGCTGGGGCAAGAAGGGCCACATCATGCCACCATCTGGAGCAAGTTGGGGGAAACGAGGAGGTGCACTTTGGGCACCTGCAGTGGGATTCGCACCAACACACGTGATGGCAAGAGCTGTTGGTTTCCTGCAGTAACCCTTTGACGACACGTGGGGATTCCCTGAGGTATTGTCTACCCTCTGTCCCTGCTTTATGGAGTCCGCGGTCACCAGGCCCAGGAGTTGCAAGGGAACGGAGGAGGGGCTGCAGCTTTCTTTCCTCTTGTGCCATCCAACAGGAGCATGAGGAGACGCCGGGCATGTATGCATCCTCTGTGGACGTTGCCATTGCATGCTCCAAGCACCCAAATGACGATAGCTTTAAAATGCAGTTGGGCAAGTACCCACTCTAGCCTACATGCCGTGGGATGCTGCTGCCAATGTCAATGGGTTTATCTGCAAACATCCCTGCCGCAGTTAAATGTGGCATGCCCAGTACTCCTGTCTCCTCAGACCAGTAGATTTGTTTTCGGGGGCTAGCAATTTAGTGTTCAAAATCTTGTAGAAATTTAAACTGATGTTACAGGTGTTACGGGCATTGGGCCGACCTGCCCTGCTGTAAGCAAACAAGAGTTTGGAGCGGGACAGGTGGCCTCCCCACTTTGCCCCCCATCTCTTCTATCAGTTGAGCCTGATTAAACACCCCCACACTCTGGGGGCTAGGGGTGGGGTGGGGTGCACGTTGCGTGCCAGCACTCCCGTTCGAGTGCTAGCTGTTGTCCACTTGCTTGCTCCCCGCCCTACATGCCGTCCACTAGGCTGTGATGCCTCTTAGACCAGGTGACCTGTCTCGGGGCATATGTAGCAAGAGAAGGGATTTCTTCCCCCTTTCTCTGCCGCCCCTCCACCCCCAGTTCAGAGACCTTTAATCTTCCATGCTGTCTCAACCAAACCCCTCAGGAGAGAAGCTGGTTAATTAGACCCTTCTCTCCCCCCACAAAGCCCGAGACCCTGCTGTCTGGTGACCCCCTCTGGTGTGTGCCCGTGAAGCTTGTTATCCGTGGCGTACAGCAGGAGCCTTTGACAGAAAGGAGAGCAGCCGGGAAAGTAGGTTACACTGAGACTTTGGCTCCTCTGTTAGGATTTGCCACAGTTTGGGAGCTTAGAAGCTGGCCTGGTTTTTTTTCGAAGGGAGGCGGGGGGAGAGACCAAGTGCCCCTGTAAAGGGCAGGTGAAGCATGTCTTACCTGCACAGCATCAGGCAATACCCAAAAGAGCAGAGAAGGCGTCAGATTTGGCAATAGCCCCAACCAGGTGCTTTCCCCTGCAAGATCCATTTTCAGAGTGGGAGGGATCAAGTGCTTCCCTGATGCCTCCCTTGAGCTGTGAAGGACCTGCCAAGAAGGTGGTATCCTTTGGGTGCCCCTTTATACTAAAGATTAGGCTCTCTATTAGGCACCTGCCTGTACTATGCCTGACAGCCATGCCCTTAAACGTGCCACGTCTGCTTGATGCTGGCTTTCAGCAGTGCTAATAGGCCTGACTTTAGCGCTGCACCAGCATGGATGTGCTACTTCCAGGTCTGGAGATGCTGTATTTGAGGGTGCTGCTGCTGGGCATGGTAAACTTGGCTTCTAGGTCAGCTTTAGATTGTAATCACACCCTCCAGAGTCTAGATGTCCCATGTACTTAACGTGGCTTAGATGTACTAGTTTCCATAGCACAGTGGAGTGACATGGTTAGGGTTCATGTTTGACTACCTCTGGCTCCCTAACCCAAATGCCCAGCGTGTCCCATCTGCT